TAATAATTGATCCCATTAATAAATACTTTTTTAATGGGAGTGTAAAAAAAATATTGAGAAAATTACGTATAGACCCTATATAAAGGACTTATCTACAAATAGATCTAATAAATTTGGAAAAATATAATCAAATCTCTTGGAACTTGAGTTTAATTGAAATTTTAAGTGAAAAGACCTTCATGTCCCTGCTTGCTAAAAAAACAATATACTAAGGTCATATTTTCCTTACACTTACAGCTATAATTTCACAATTTATAAGTAGAAGTTCTTAATTTATAAGTCATATTTCATGTTTCATAAATAATATGTTGAAATTGTATTTACTCTTCACTTACAATCATAACTTCATAATTTATAATAATTCTTAATTCACAAGTCACATTTTGTATTTTATAAATACAAATGTATCACTGTTTTTGTATATATAATTTGATATATTTCAATAAGGGTAATATTATTTTTGCACCCCCAATCACAAATTAAATTTTTGAATTTGGTTAGACTTATTTATAGATAAATATCTTACATGGCACCTATACGCAATTTTTCCAAGAATATTTTAATAATAACTCTAGACAATAGTGGTTTGTTCTTATAAATAAGATTAAGAGAACTGTCCACAAAAATTTTTATAAAAAGGAATGAAGAAGTATTTAAAATTTTTCACTTTTTAGGATAAATTGGCTCACTAACAGAAAAAATTCTTATACCTAAAAAATATAATAATTTTAAAAGAATTTGGGAATGTGATCAATTGACATTGATATGCAAAAAGTTTATGATAAATATATAATGATATATTATTGATAAATATAATAAACTGATTATAATTTAAAATATAATAAATGTTTGGTTGTTTGTTTAATTTGATCTCATAACATGAGCTATAGCAAAAGCCTCTACTTTCTATGCTCTCTCATATTTGGTAATTACGCCCAGTGTGCTTAATTATATAAGAGCTAATTTTAGTTTATATCTAAAATATTTGCTTTTCAATTTTGCCTTCAATTAAATGTTATGACTTTTACAACTTCAAATTTTTAAATTTATTCAAGGAAGTGGTCCATGAAAACATTTTTTTATTACTTCTAGAACTTTATGTGAAGTCCTATAATAATTAGGGGCACCAACTCCCTCAAAATTAGCATTTATAATAAGAGACGGAGGATAGAGTTAATAATAATATTTTTTATTGACATAATTACATGAGATTAAGTTAATTAGACGCGTACTTTTATATATTGTGCAAAGGCATATTTCTTTCATCTCATATTATAAGATATTTTTAAAAAAAATTTAATATCACAAAATACAAGACACTTTAATAAAAATAAAGTCTTATTAATAATACTTTTTCAATATTATTCTTCTCATATATTTTCTTTTTTAAAATTCTTTCATCAATGGATTATTAAATAAAAATTTTTTAAAATTTTATATTTTTATCTTAAAAAAATAAGGTTGTAAAGTACATTTAATGAGCTTTATTGATATATAAAATTTTATCTAAAAATATCTTATAATTTGGGACAGAAAGAGTATTATTTATGATGCATACATATTAAAATTTATTATATATTTTATATATTATATTTATTTAAAATTTAATAATTAGCCACATACCTTTGCAGTGTATGAAAAATGATTCAAATTATATATTTATAATTGATGAATAATATGATTTGTCATGCTCTAAGTCATATTTTTTTAATTATGTTATATTAATTATATTGATGATATTATTCAGGAATTGTGGAAAGAGGGTGCTAGATAATATGTTTTTTTTTTTTTTTGAGAAATCTGAGAAATTGCAGTGGCTAGGTCTTGTTAATTATGATATTTCCAACGGCTTTGATAGAGACAGCTGCATCGGTAAGTGTTCCTACAGTGCAAGACATTAGGGGAAATGGGGAAGGGGATCATGATTATCTAAATTCTAATTATTTTAAAAACTTAAATAAATATGATAAAAATTTATAAAATAATTTTAAAAAAAACATAAGCGATTTCTTTAAAAAAATATTTTAAATACTATCTTTTAAAATTTTATAATTATTTTAAAAAGTTACTTTAAATAATTTTTAAAAAAATTTAATATAATAGATGAGAGTGAGTGTTTTAAAGAGGAAAAATATGTAAAGATATTATAAAATTTTAGAATAATATAATAATAAATTATTTTTATAAAACAAAAATTAAAAAATATATCATAAAATTTAAAGATAATTAATTAATAATTACTTTTTTATTATTGTAACTAAATATAAAAATAATACTTATTTTTTATAAAATCTTTATAAAATAAATTTCTTTTTATAAAATTTTTAAATTATTTAAAAGTCATTTATTTTTTAATTTTAAATAAACAGGTTCAAAATATATTGTCCTTTTCACAAATTTAAAATTTAAAATTTTATAAATATTATATGATAAAATATATTATAACCATTCATGAGACACTCATGATTGAATCCAAATCCGAAGAATTTTGATTTTTTTTCCTAAATAATTTAACCCCTTGATTCTTCCCAATTTCCCCGAGAGATCACAACCATATACATCTGACATGAATTGCGATTAATGCAACGCCATCTGTCTATTTCTGGCTCTACTCTCTACTACGTTGACATCTATGAACATTTCGCTGACAGGATCCAGGGCACTGATAAGTATGGTTCGTACTCTGTACACTGTTGGCTCTTTGCGTGATTATTGTGGGAGTATTAATCTCTTAATTTCAAAATTATTGTTGTTTAAGGATGTGGCGGATAGATTATGAAATTTTTAATTAATATTATATATTACTCTCTATAGTATTATTTAAGAGTCACTTTTAGCATGTTTTATCAAAATTAAAAAAACTTTAAATCTCATTAAATTTATCTTAAAATTTAATAAATTTTTACTTTTATTCTTAATAAATTTTCATAAATTTTATTATTAATATTTTTATTTAAAATATTTAATAAGGATAAAAATATAAAGAGGAGCCTTGAAAATTAGTAAGTGTCCTATAAATAAAATTATTTTTTTTCTCACTCTGCTCTATAAATAAAATTAAAGAAGTACTTTTCATTAACTACAATGTATCCTGAATTGTGAGAAAGAGCAAGAGAAGGGAGAAATAGATTTTGTAGAAAAAGTAAAGATAATAGGTGAAAAAGATGTGGTAAGAGAGAGAATAAAATAGCTAGTAAATTGAGATGATTCTTAAATGAGTATGAATATAATTATTAAATAAAGTTATAAGTGAAAAAAAAATTATACAGATTCAATCTCAAGTTTTTTAAATCATAATCACTCATTCAACTGAATGAAAAATATATCAATATTATATTTACACATACTAGTCAAATTACTAAAAACCATATTATTTATAGGATTAAAATACGTTTTCATCTTTGAACTTTTTTTAAAAAAGTGCTAGATACTTTGTGTTGATAAGTGCAAATTTTTTTTCCTAAATCATTTTTTTCAAATAGCAAAAAAATTTTTTATTAGTCACCCCTTAACTTTGTTATTATTGACTGATATGACATGTACGTGAAGCCTACATACAATAACAAGATTTTGATAATGTTTTTTAGTGCTAATTTATCCTTAAATTTTTTCAGGAGCATTGAACATCTTGAAGTCTTGTTTAAATAAAATTTAATAACTGTTACTAAAATATTAAATATTATTATTTATAAATATATATCTAAAATTTATAAATTATTTTTTAAATATTAACACTCAAATTAGTTTTACAAAAATTCATTGATAATTGATTTTATACTTGGGCCCATGCACATGTTATGTTAGTAAAAAACAGCAAAATTAACAAGTGATTAACAAAAGAGAATTTTTGCTTGTCAAAAAAATAATTCAAAAGAAAAATTGCTCTATTTATCAATACAACATCCACAATGCTCCTAAAAAAAAGTTCAGCTGTACAAATAAACCTTAATCTTTACTTATAAGTCATAAATCATGAAATTCATTCTTCAAACTATTAAATTCAAAGAAATACATGTAGTTTTACAAACATGTCTTGATTTTTTTTTTTTGGTGGTTTTGTTGTGATATTCGGATAGGGCTGTAGGGCTGATGTGGTAAATAATGGATGTTGTGGTAGCGGGTACATCGAAACATCGTTTTTGTGTAATGAAAAATCACCTCTGCGTTCTGATCTTTCAAAGTATATGTTCTGGGATTCTTTACATCCCCACTGATAACCTGTCACTTATAGAAGTGGTTTGGTTGTATCTAAATGGGAAATAATAATAATAATAATAAATAAAAGAAGCCCTATGTACTTCCCCGTTGGGGAAATAAGGCATTTCATTTTTTATTAGTCTCAAGTAATTTTATGTTGGAAAATACACATAAGAGCCCAAATAAAGAATTTAATTACTAATAAGCCCACTTTTTGTGGGTCAACTAGTGGTATTCATGTTATCCGGTAATATTTAGCCAGAGATTGGATTTATTACTGGTTAAATTCTTTACTTGGGACTTCTCTATTATTTTTCCCGTTTATATTTCATTAGTCTCAACAGTTTGTGCTCAAACTCTTATTAAGAATTTTTTTTGCCACATCAGAGATCCCATTGGCAAACTCTTTCTAAACTGATTGGGATTTTAGAACATGAAGCAAAAGTATGGTAAACTAGAAGAGAGAAAAACAAGGTGAGCAAAATGAGGGCTGCATAGAGAAGAGGATCCACCACTATATAAAAACTACTTGCATTAATAACATTAAAAGATACATGATGCTTCTTATATTTCCATAACTATCACTTAAAAGGGATGTGTCAAATCAGGTTGACATATATGGCAGAGACTCTCATTACTTAATCAATTCAATTGATTAGAATTGGAATTTCAATCCTTGTATTTGTAAGAACCTAATTGGAAGAGATCTTACTCTTTGCCCATGGTACCCAAAGAAAATTATTTCTACTATCAACTACTTTCTTGTGCCTTACCCAAAAAAAGTGATTGTATTTATTATCTGTTTTTCAGATATAAAGAATATTTTTCATCTGCAAAATTACTTGTTTCATTCCATTTTATTACATTCTCCACCTTCAAAGGTTTCCTATTTATGCTGCAGCTAGCCTTTGTCAAAGTATATGAAAAGCAAAGCCTCCTCTCTCTCTCATTTTGGACTCAGTTTACAATATTTCTGACGATGTCAACAGAGAAACTAAAGTTACTTAGCATTTTGAGCAGCTTGAAAGTTGGAACATCCAAAATCCAAAGATAACAACTGAAAAGGCACTGATCAGCCTAAACCCAGGATTTATAATGTTATATTACCATATAGAAGGGATAAAAAGTAATAAGTTTATCAATGATGATTTATGTAAAGTTGGATGAAGTTCTCATTATATCTTCAACCGCTGTCTTGTCCTGTTGTTAGGTGTAACAAAAGGGCACAGCCATAAGCAGATTTCATGACAGAGACATCGGAGTTCTGTGTGTGCACAATACAGCTCATTGGAATATGACTCCATGCTAATGCCAGATGGTGAAGCCCAAAATCAAGAAATCTACCAAAGGAAGAAATTGATGCTCTTCTTAGCGATAAGGAAAAAATATTATTAGTTTGGCAAAAAAGGATCCTAACTCTACTTCATAGTTTAAGGGTCAAAATTCATACCTTTTTTCATGAAAGCAGGCCAGCCACTTCATCAAGATTCTGTGGCATCAACTGAATTCCTGAATGTGATGGAATTGTCAATGGAGTTGTCATCTTTATAATCCCGGACACAAACATTTTTAACTAGGATTCTACTCACTTTGGAGATTGTGAATCAAGCTGCATTGTTACTGGTCCGTCATTAACCAAACTGACCTTCTCACCATGACAAGAGCGGATAGTTAACATATGTAGCCATTAGACATTAACACCCAACACATGCATCATCACGAAGAAATTGAACGGACACAAGCTTACCTTCATCATTGCTCCAAAAACTCCATCTGCAAGAATATGAAGCATATTGAAGTCAGAACATGACACAGCATTAAGTTCCAACAGATTTACAAGATGCATTCAAGGAGGGACACATACACATCACCAAGGCTCCTTAAAGACAATTCAATCTAAATAGAGAGAAGAAGGTTTCCAATGAATTAATGTATATCAAATTATACGACACAACAACAGAATTGACCACTCGTCATGATAATGCATACTCACTGTTTGTTTCTTTACAATTAGACAAGTGGCAAGATGAATTATGGGTTTCCGTCTGTGGTTAATACCAGAAGTAAAAGACAACGGAAATAGCACCAAATTTTTACTAACAATAGCTTATTTTGGTTGAGACCATGTAAAAAATAGGTTGGCATTCCTTTTATACATTTTATAAGCCACCAAAGAAGATATTGACAAGGAAAGATGAATGAATTAGAATTACGTGTTAGGGAACATTGTGGTCATTAATCTATAAATTAAATAATGAATGAACAATCATTAATAATTGGGAATCCTATGGTATCTTAACAAAATAGAATTATCTGGGTTTGCACTGAGTTGGCATACAAGAATAGTTACTACAATCAAGATTCAAAATTCAAAGCATTCATAAGAATTCTGTTGTCCACCCAATTTCTCCTATCCGGTATCAGACAGATTCTTTCATTTTTGTTACCGCTAATTGACTAGATTGCGCTAAAATCCTCTGCAGTGAATGGCAAGAAGGGAAAGTGAAATAATTCTGCATCAATTTTCCAAGCAATGAGACTGCTAACTATGTAGTGGGAGTCATAGTGGCTAAACTAAGCTATGCAATGCTAATCTTCACGGCTAGCAGAATTCTGTTAATGCAATGAGATACTTTCAGTACTCCACACATGGCAAATTTGCACCATTTGCTGATTTACACATCTCCTCCAGATCACCACTCAAGTTGTTTAGGCCAATTTTTCCGTTGGGTTATACAATATATATATATATATAAGCTAAAGGTCTGTTGAACCTTAAGGAAGGTACTCATTACCAAACCATGAATGATCAATACTCAAAGTGCAACATTTACATTACTTATGAACTTGTCGTTTGTTAATCATGACAAAGGTAAACGCTAGATTTCTATTTCTTAACCATGAATAAATTATAAATTATATATAAAGAAATAAAAAAAACAAACAAAATTAATGCCTCTCTGTAATCTTTATCATTTGTCAGAGACAGATGCCTTCGGCTGATAGGTGAAATACATCTGAAACTTACCTTTTATTGCATCAGTGTTATAGGCATTCCTGAATCTAGCAACCAAAGATGCATAAAAGGGCTTCGCTTTTTGAGGTGGCATTGCAACGTGAAAATCTGGCTTGTTTCCCTTCAAGAATCCATACAAGGTAAATTGACTCACTGTCACAAAACCAATATTACTTAAGTAGAATAACAACCAAAGTCCTTCCCACTTCCTTCTTCATTAATAATTAACAAAAATCGAACTAACAAACATAATTCCAGTACCTAATAGAACTTGATAATTCCTCTGCATTACCTGCAAATTAAGAGAAGCCCAATTACACAAACGGTCAAAGCAACCTCCGCAACTGATATCTAACATTTGACAACGAAATAAATTACACTTTGGTCCCATCCTTTGCCTGTACTTTCATTGGGGAACAATCTCATGTTCAAGACTTTACGACATCTGAAAGCAGAGCAGACCAACAAACCCCAGCAAAAAAAAAAAGTGACTATGGAAACCATAAATTATGAATTCCGCTTGAAAAATAAAGATGGGGAAAGAGAAGTACATGTAGTCGGCATCGGCGTCGGAGTCGGAATCGTGGAGGCCAACAAGGACGAGAAGGCCCGGTCCAATCTCAGACACAATGCGGCCTTCGACCTGGAAGAGTGCTAAGATGCGCCGGTGATACAGGATAAGAGAATAAGAGAGAGAAAAGAAGGGGAAGAGGTTTGACAAGTTGGCTTGAAAGGAACTAACCTCGACGCTTGCGGAGGCGACGCGCTGAACGACGGCTCTCATGGCTGTGATTGGCTTCGCTTTCTTCTTGGTAACTGTAGCAGAGAAGCTTGAACTTCTGTACCTGAAGCGTAAATCTGTTGGTGCGATGGCAGCGAAGGAAGGAGGCATATCCCTGGAAATGGAATACATTTTTTTTTTATTTTTTTAATTATTATTGTTGGACACTTTGTTCAAAAATGCTCTTTTGAAAATGCGGATGCCACTGTTCGGCCTTTTGGACAATAGTCTTGATGAACGCTCAGTGTTTCTAAATACAAGTGATTTTACCCCCCCCAAAAAAAAAGCAAAAGTAATTAAGATTGTTAATAGTGATACTTTTGAACAATTTTGAGAATTCAAACTATTTTTACTATTATTTTTAATTTTTGTAAAGGTGTTGGAGGAAGGAAAGGGTGAGATGTTAATGATAAATATCTATCACAAATTAATGTAATAATAAATTAATAAATCAATGCTAAAATTAGTTTTTGTTGTTAGGTGTTAACAATATTTTTTCTTAAAAGTCATTTTAACATGATTTATAGTTTTTTGCAAGTATGAAGAGCGTTGATTGTGGAAATTTTATCCTCAGAAATATTGAAGACAAATGGTTAACTCTTTTCGATTAAGTTACTTTATAAATCAAGGCTGAGAACTAACTCTAACCACTCAACTATTCTCTCACTACTAAAAAAAATTAAAATTAATAACAGATATTTAGTGATGGAACTCTAATTTATCACTAATTATAGGCATTAGTAACAAAAAATTTGTGACAAATTAAAATCTACCACTAATTATATAAATTATTTACAGATGAGTGACATATATAGGATATGTCACATTTTGGTCAAATTTTATAAATTTAGTGACCAATTTAATTCTATCACTAAATCTTTATATTATTGACAAATATTTTTTAATTAAAAAATTAGTAAAATGAGCTCAAATATTTTATAAAAATAAATAATTTATAATATACATAGAGAGGTTCACATAAAAAATCTTCAAAATTATCAAACTAATTAATTACATAAATAATTTTTCTCTTATTATAAGTAAAAATATAATATAAAATGATATAAAAATTAAAAAAATATTTTTTCTTTTATAATGTAAATTTAAATATAAAATAAAATTTTTATCATATGAAAATATTTTAATTATCACATAGATAATATAAGATGATATATACAAGTATTTAATTTCATAACATATATTTTTTGGTATTAAATAATATATTTATTATTTAATAATAAATATTGAATTATATATTTATGCGTGAATGTGTGTTTATCATAATAGATATTATCAACATATTTAAATAATAATATATTAAATATGTAAAAAATACATTTAAGTTAAATAAATGTGTTCAATTAAATGAAAGATTATCATAGCTCAATTGGCAAAAAGCATGTATGAAAAGAGAAGTATTGGTGTCGCGCCCAAAAATGCAATGCAGACAACGCGTGAGAGAGGAGGTTTCGACTTTCGAAGCGAAAACTAACAAAATAGGGGTCGCCACCAAAAATTTAATGAAAATCTTGAAAAATTATTTAAAGAAAATAAGGATGATATACAAAATCAGAAACAAATTCAGAAGTCGACTAAGTGTGGAGAAGGTGTTAAACACCCCATAACACCCGTTTGTGAAAATGGTTACTTGAAGTTAATTGTGCTAAATTAATATGATTTTAAAATTATTTTAATTATCCTTTTCTTATTCACATGTTTGATATAAAAAATGATGATAATAAAATGAGAAATATTTATTTATTTATAAGGGAGGACTTGACTCAGAATCAAACTCTGAGGCTTACGTACAATGCAATGAGGATCAAAGTTTACATAGTTCGAGATTAAAAGTTTGTTGATGAGAATGTTTTTTAAGAGAAATTAATTAAAAATAATTTACTATTTTGCAAATAAAATAATTTTATGAAATTTTGATATGTATGTTCTAAGTTGCAAAAAGTAATTTAATTTAATTATTTTCTTAATTTTTAAAATTTTAAAATAAGAAAAAGGAAAAGAGTTTAAAATTATTTTTTTTCTTTCATTATATTCTTTTTTGAAAGTTTAATTGCTACACTTGCGGAGTTTATTGGTTTACACAGTGATGCAATTATTCTAAATATTTATAAAAATTTTAAAATCTCACATGACAAATGAGTCCAATAACTTAATTTATTTTACTTATGTTTTTAAGTATTAATAATAATTTTTTTAAGCCTATACATATATGTTTTTAAATAATTTTAATTATCATACTGCAAAGCCTTATTAACTTATATGAAAATATGATTATCCTAAATATTTGTGAAAATTTAAAATCCTCACACAATAAATGATTAAATAATTTTTAAAGATAATATAATTTAATTTATTTCTTATGCGTGTATATATGCAAATAATTTATATTTCTTTAAAAAACTTAATCGTTATACCTACAAAATCTTATTGACTCATACGATAATACGATTATTTTAGAAGTCTATAGAGATTCAAAAATCTCACATGACCAAAAGATTTAACAATTAATATTCAAATACATTAATTTAAATAATTAATTAGTTACTTTTTTAAAAATGTTTATTATATCAATATGTTCACAATATCCATTTATTTAATAATCATGACAGCTACAAGAACTTATTATCCTACAGGATGAGGTTATTAAACTAAATATCTATGGAGATTCTTCAAATCTTACATGATACCATTTAAATATTTTTAATTAATTTAAATTATATTTGAGAAAAGATAAAAATAAAATTATTAATTTAAATAATAGGTCATTAGAACCTATGTTTAATATATATAAATTGGATCTTTATAATTGTGAAATCTTATTAATTTATATGACAGAGAATCATTTTAAATGCTTGTGGAGACTCTTAAAGTCTCTAATGGAAAAATCTAAAAAATGATAGTCATGTTTATCATTCAGGCACGAAAGGATACACATGTTTAAGGATAATTCATTTAAACATAAAATTCATGGAAGCAACAAATAGGGAGCAGACCATTTTTTTTTCCTTTTAAGTTGGCCATGTAAATCTTAAATATTTGGCTTGATGTTTCAAAGATATTCAAAAAGAAGAAAAATAAATAAACAAAGCAACAACATTCTTCCTTTAAAACAACAATCATATAAACCATGTGAGTAGCCATTGCAAAATTCCCTAACAGTACTAATTTCTTTTCTGCACAAACGATTAACACCAAATCGAAGTCTCATCCTTATCAATAAGATAACACCAACAAACTTGCTTAGTCCACACATTCTTTCATGCTAAAATGCATTTAAAATCCAACTTACAATTACAAAAAATCTCTCATAGCTTGAGATATAAATATGATGAGAATATGCTCAAAGCCAAATCAAACCAATTAGGACAGCAAATAGAACTTCAACTTAGAGTTTTTTAAAGAAATTCAGAATGCATAAAATATCACAAGTTTGGAAAAAGAGATGATTACAACAACTCGACCGATTGTTGTGAACAAAAACATTTAAGCTTAGCAAATTTCCATAATTAGTATGCAACCAATGTTTGATTCCCAAGTGTTCGGAAGCCTAACAATGATAAATGTAATATCCTCCTTCTCTAATCCATGACTAACTCAAAATCTCAATTAACTAAGAGATTGGATTAAGGTAAAAACAAGTTTACCAAGTTTATAAATCAATAGTAAAGTGGGATCCTAAGTTTTCAGAACTAAAACCATTTCCAAGGACTTTAAAATAGATAAAACAGAGTTTACAATTATATAGAAACATGAGATCATTTTAAGAATTAGTGCATTTGCTAAGAAATCAAAAAATAAGGAGATTCTATAAAATTTAGGATGTGCGCTATGGCTCGTAGAACATGTGTTGCGGCATGTTCACCTTTGTGCCATGCACCGTGGCTTGTGGTACCATACAGCACGACACATTACACATTCCATGACAATAAATTTTTTTATCAATTTAACAGCTTTTTAGGACAACTTTTGACGTGCTTCATTCTTCCGTCCAACGTTCGATTGATGAGAACTAGGTGTCTACGAAAAGCTCTTTCTGAGCTCTTACTAATGGCTTTTTTCATAACCAAATTATTACACATTCAAAATTTGGACACTTTTTTTAAAACTTACACTTTTTCAATAATTTCCATAAAACTAAGTGTCCAAATCATTCACCAAAAGCCAAGAGCTATTGATACCACTTAGACCACATGTAATACACTAGAACTAACATGTGTGATACATCACATCATATCCAACACTTATAATTCACAACTTTAATGCCCAACCCCTTAATTCAAAAACATAGAAGGGGGAGTTCAGATCACTTTTTTCATCAAAAAATTCATAAACATCACATAATATGCCCAACTCTTACTTGCATTAGTATTTTAGTCCTAACACAGATATCACAATTTATAAACTCACTTCCTAAGGTCCAAAATACACTTACAACTCACAAAACACATAATGCAAGTAAGAACCAAAATGGACTATTTTTAATTGGCAATTTCAATTATCATATACACATAAAGACTCAAAATAAAGAGGCCTACTAAATAGGATTGCAATCCTACGCCTCTGGTTGTTTTCCTCTATTCGATTCTCTTGAGCTATTTCCTGTAATCTTGCAGATAATGGGGTGAATATAACCACTTAGTAATGTTAATTGTTAACTTTCTATATGCAAATGCACCATTCACAAGCAACTCACACCAAATTCACAAATCCATAGTCCAGTTCTCATAACCAGAGAAGTTGATACCAAACTGTAAGGTCTTCTTTACTTAACCACACAATACTCTATTATCAAGGTAATCAAGAGATTATCCCTCGAATGTTACTAAAGTTGTCAAATTTTGTAAAAGAGAATTTCTCAAACTATTTATAACGGAATCTCAAAATTCAACATTTTAAATCTCAAACATTAGTTACTAAGTTCAAATCAAAGTATGAAAACTGTGCGAAGGCTTAGAAATCAAAAGGGACCTAAAACCATGAGTTTTAAAATTCAAAAATAGATTTTATGGAGAAAATGACATGCGCGCTGTAGCTTATGACATGTGTGCCATGGCTTGTCTTCTCTGTGCCATGTACCGCAGTCTATTGCACAAATTTGATAGCTCAGCTTTGTAACATCTTAAGTTTTAATTCCCTGATTAATTAAACCTAATTGGAGTAATTAAGTAAATTGAAGTGGTGTGTGGCCAAATAGGTCTAAAATCATGTTTGATGTTATTTCAGCCCTAGTTGTAGGTTTGGTATAGAGGCAAACCACCTGGGCATCAAAAAGAGAAGAAAAGGAAGAGTTGAAGTTGATGTGCTACACGTCGCAGCGCGTAAATCGTCCGCTGCAATACACAGCCATCTTTGAGTGAGGGAAGACTTATCTGTGCTATGCACTGCAACGCATTATGCTTCCATCGTGTCGTATGGCCATGTTCTGCACTTTATCAAACGCGAAATGAGACAAAAAAAGAAAGAAAAGAAAGGAGAGAAAGGAGAGGCATGCCAATGCTCTGTTAGGGTTTACTTGGGGACCACTTTGAGAGTATTTTAAAGGCTACAAACATTTAAGGTAAGTATCATACTCATTAATCTCTCATTTTCTTCCACATTTATGAGTTTATGGTTAGGGTTTGATAGTAAAACTGGGATTTCGGTCCATATAGGTTATGGGTCTGAATTTGTTAACTTAAATGGAGTTAATGGGGGTAGATTAGAATATTTAAACCTAGGTATGATGAGTTTTGGTGTCTTGAGTTGTTGGGCACTATAAATACTTAAAAATCTCATTTATTATGGGTGGTTGGAAGTTTGTGATGCCATTAATGAGAATTTAATGGCTCATTTATGCTATTGGGGGCTAAAGATAATTATTAAACTTAATGGTTAGGCTCTACCTCTTGTAAGGTGAAGGTTGGGAAATTTAGAAGTAGAGATTAAAGGTTTAAATGTTTGAGTTTGTTATGTTGATGGAATTCAACTTAGTTAATTGTAGTTTTGGCTCTTGGTCACTTATTGGAGTGGAAATTCAAACTTAGAAGCTAATTAATTGAGGGATAAACCTTTAACCTCTCAAAGGTTTGAGGTAATCAGGGAAAATTTTACTTTGGATAGTTGTATGTTAATTAATGGTTAATTGGTTGTTGACTGTGAGATTATGAATGTTACATGCATGGAATTGATGGTTAAAGCAAAAAAAATTGTATGTTAGTTTCATTGAGTATATGAAAAAGTTATTCTTGGCTTGAAAATGCTTATACTTTTAAAAGATGAATGTGATGATGTGTCGAGGTATTTGTATGTTAGTGATGAAATGTATTTGAGAAAATGATGAAGATGCACACTTGGGTACCATAAGGTCGTGAGCCCAATATGGTTGTTGAAATAGTAAGTAAATGAAAGTGAAAAAGTAAACTCAAGTGAGTAATGATTATAGCATGATCGGTGGTGGGAGTTCGCCTAGGGATTTAGAAGTAGAGAAAATCCGTATGGTAAGTAGGTCACCCTCCAGTACACAGGGGCTATAGACTTGTCTTACTATTTGTTAAGAGACTGTCCCATAGTTTTTTTGAGAGACTAGAACCTAGTTATCTCTACTAGTTCAATGAGAATAGCCTAGGGTATGGACACCCCAGGATTCGAGAATGGGAGAAGCCATGGTCCAAGAGTGAGTCCTGTGATCTTTGGCCAGGTCATACCTCACGATTGGTAAGCTTGGATAGTCCAGTTACACGGACGGAGCCCTAATCTGTGTCATAGCCCACAATTTCAGTTTGAGAAAATAAGGAGGATATAAGGCTAGTTGATCATTGTCTAAGTAAATATATGACGTGTCACACGTGCTAAGTAGTGGCAAGTTGCAAGAGTATGGGTCTTGTCACATATCTGAGAATATGGCGACAATGCACCTAATTATGTAAGTAAAGAAGCTATAGAGTGATAAATGATAAAATGTAATATATGGGGACATGTTTTATAAATTTGATCTTCTTGTGCATGGATTTGTTTATAATTAATATATAACTGCATAGGGTAGGTTTAACCTTGGTTACTAAGTGGCTAGATTCACTCTTCTTATTTAATACTTTTCAGGCTCTAGCTCTGATGTTGAGAGGAAGACTAAAGAGGCGAGAAATTAGCATATTCCTATTGTATGCCTTTAGTTTAGCTTTAATTGTGTAATAGTATATGACTTGCCAATTCTAAGATGCATATTACCTCACTTGTACTATTTTGGTGGTTGAAAATGTTAGAATTATATTTTGGGCCCTTAGCTTTTGTATATGTTGACATATATATGTTTTATAGGGCCAAAATACTAGTGCAAGTGTAGAAATGAAGATCTGAGCATGTTTTGAACGATTTGAGTTAAATGCAATGGCAAATTACCTCCCCTTTTGTTTTTAGTAAATTGAGGTAGAGGAGTAAATTTTAGTTATACTGATGTTTCGATGCTTGTGATGTGTTGTACTAGTAGTCCTAAGTCCATTGGACATGGTCCAGGTGTTAGGAAAAGCATTTGGTACTTGTTGAGGGTTTTGGACACCCATTTTGTGTAAAAATGTTAAAAAGTGGTTAAAATGTGTTTGAATGTCCAACTTCTTAGTGTATCTTATTTTGGAAGTAAAACCCATGCCATAAGTTAGTACAGGAAAAGAGCTTTCTGTAGATACCTAGATCACGTCATTCGGACGTCGGATGGAGAATTGGGGTGAGTCGAAAGTTTTCTCGATTTTACTGTCAACTGACAGCAGAACCGGTAGAATTTTGTGCTGCAGCACATGGAGCTTGAATCGCAGCGTGTGGCATAAAAAGCAACACGCCGTGGCGCAAAGTGCATCCGCTGCGGCACATTGCTCTGTATTTCAGTATATAATTTGTTTTCAATCGTTTTCGACTTCTTTCACTCCTCTAAGGTATTCCATGCTTTCAAAACTTATTTTTACTCTAATATGAAAGGTTTTGATCAATTTTTATCTCGTTTCTATTTAAAAAACTTAAGATCCTTTCCTTTTGGATTAAACCTTGGTAATCATTCTTTGAAGCTAATCCCTCGATTACCATGAGTTTTATTTATTAAGTGTGTTTAGCAGAGTAAGAATGTTTCAAGCTTTCGACGTGTCCTAAATCTCTGTTTGATATCTGGTTGACGTGGTTTTGGTGTCTACACAAAGTTTTCTTCTTGCTCTAGCTAATGGTACCGATTTCATAATCTAACTCTTACTCTATAAAAAGTTAGACACCAAAACCCATTTTTGACTACTTTTTTACAAAATTTTACAGATGGGTGTCCCAATTCAACCACACGTGCTAATAACTCACATCGACCATCCAACCATACTCAATAGACTCTTACGAACCCATGCAACGCACCACATACAATTAAAAACACTTATATCGCAAAATCACCACTCAACCCTAATTTTCACAAAACACAAAAGGGGAGGAAGTGTTGCACAAATTCATCAATTTCATTCTAATTCTTTCAAAATACATATATTTATACTTGCACAAGTATTTTTGTCATATCTACAGGTTTACAACCAAGACTCACTGAATCAGGGCACAAAATACATGAGTTGTACACAAAATAATGCAAGTAGTGCAAAAATATCATCAAATGTTCCTAGTTGGCAAACACATGAAACAACAAAAAGGAGGCATATAGAGGATTACTCCACAATCCTAGGCCTCCGTATATTTTCCCTAACTCAAATCCGATGAGTTAGGTCTTGAAAATATTGAGAATTAAAGGGTAAGTACAACTACTCAGTGACTAAATTTCACTTAATCTATACAGTTGCATATCAATTGTAAATATATAGATGTGAATAGGCAAATACACATATAATACATATGAAACACTTGGCCATGGTTTACAAAACTAACAACCATGTAAACGAGTTCACAAGACATAATAATCATGTTATTTTGTGAAGCACAACACAAGGTTACAATAATAACAACCATATTCCCTTAACATATGCTGGACCATAAAACTAACAACCATATGATCAAACTTATATGCATAGTCATATGCCAACTTTATACCCTCCTGTTACCTCCAACATAAAACTGGTAGCTATTATATGGCTACATCCTTCATGTACTAACCCAGCCTTTCACTTGTGAAGAGCTACTGGGCCAAGGTGAACTCACTTACTTATGTAATCTGGTTTCTCCCAATACTAACAACCATGGGGTGTCGTATCCCTAATTTAACCTCCTCATGAACTAACAGAGACTAGTTAGATTCGAGTCCCTCATAGAACAAGTGGGATAGTCCCGAATCAACCATGAGATGAGGGCTACCTCTCAATTCCAACGGTCAGTGCTAAGGCAAGTTCTCGATTCCAACAATTACTGCCAGTACTATATGGATTTAAACCAATCTACTCCTCTCCCTAGGCGAATTCTTGACAATAATCATGCTATGTGTATTTGTCACATATTATGCATTTTAAGGATTAGTTCATGACAATTAATCTCATATACTCATGTTCAATCACTCTACACATTCAACATATCACACATCACAATTGTTCACTTTTACAACATCATGCCATAAGTAAATTTATAAATCACAAGTGGGTGGTGTAATAAATGTTTTTCCTTTCTAAAATCATTTCACAACTAAACAAATTGCCGACATACATCAATTATTTAAATCATCAATCACATTTCACAATTAACATTCAACAATAAAAGTTAAGTTTTCCTCGGTTACCTCAAACCTTTAAGAGGTCAAAGGTTTGCCACTCATAATACCAACTTCCAAAGCTTCTACAAGCTTGAACAATGCCAAATGAAATGACACTATATCTAAAATCTAGAATATCATCATGATCCCATCTTTGAGGATTTATCAACATATATCTCCACACACTCTATTCCATCAACCCATAAATCATTATCCATTCATACTTAATGGGCTCTTTAGGTTCCATTAGTACACATTATTATTAATAACACTTCAAACTACCATTAATGAACATAAACCTCCCCTAACTACCACATTTATGTGGATTTTTAGGTATTAAATGATCTATTCAATAAACTCTTGATAAAATTATTAATGTAGGGTTTACTTATTGCAAACCACTCCTATTATACTCATTTTAACTAATGGGATCTGATCCATAATCCTATAGACCGAAAATGGACTCTCCAACTCAAATCCTACCATAAATCATCATAAATGAGGGAGAGAAAGAAAGAAAAAGGCATGATAGACTTACCTTGGGTGTTTGGGAGCTTCAATCTAGTCTCAATATGATCCCACAACATGCCCTAGTAGAGCAAAAGTAAAGCTCTTCGTTTACTTCTTCTTCTTCTCTTTTCATGCAAAACGTGAACTGATTTATTAAAAATTTTAGCCCTCTACGGCGACGCACGACACAGAGGAGCTTGTTGCATTCAAATCTGCCTCTATGCATCATGATGGACTGATCACGTGCTGCGGCATGTGGCACAGAGAGTAAATCTTCACTTTTTCTTCTTCTTTCCTTGCTCGGCTGGCTCGCCATCAATCCGGATCAACTTCTAGGGCTGAAATTACTACAATTACACCAATTAGACCCTTCTGGCCACACACCTTATTAACTCACTAATTACCCTTATTAGGTTAATAAACCAAGATTAAATTTTTCTTGGATGTTACACCTAATAGAGGATTTTTGTCCCTACTTTATATATCTTTGTTTTCTCCTTCTTCTATTGCATTAATTTGCGATCTTATTTTGCAGAAAAGTGTCCATACACTGCGACGAATGCATAATGCGCCATGGCGCATGGCATAGAGAGGGCTTCCCCAAGTGTGTCAGCATGCATGCACCGCAGCACCTAATCCACAAGCCGTGACACATGGCACATAACCTTGTCCTTTAGATTTTTTCTTCTTATTCCTGGGTAATTAATTCTCCTTTGGACCCACTTTTAGGAATGGAAATCACATCCAAACATGCTCGTTAGGCCTCTCGGCCACACACCTTACTAATACACTTAATTAATCTAATTAGGCTTAACTAATCCAGTTTAAAAGCGGATGTTACAATAAAGCTATACCTTTAATCACTAAAGGGCACAAGATCATGCAAGATTTTGTAGGCAACCAATTAATGACCCTATACTAACTCAAGCCAACCATATAAGAACTTAAAAAATAAGGAGAGAATTTTTTTTTTCAAGCCATGGCCTTTATCTAAAATTTTCAAACCAGGGAGGATAGTCTTATATTTACCAGCATATATTTTTTTTATTGGTGAAAGTGGCAAGCAAGGACAATATAAGGAGATTAAACTCCTTTCATACATAAGTGTGTTCACATATTCAGGGATGACCTGATCAAATAGGAATTAAAAAAAAATGCTTGCATAAGCACTTTTGGCAATGAGATCTACACAAATTATGCTTTCCCTATGAGTCACCAATATATTTTCAAACACCTTAATGGACATCTTTCATGATGCAAAGAGTACAATCATGAAATCAAAATTTGTTGTTAAAAAAGGGGGAAAAAGTACTTCAACAAAAGAGGTCACAGATTGCCAATCTATCTCTAATCATATAAAAGGCTTTAAACAAGCATAAATCACAAAGACAGAACCAACACTCTTTTAGTATAAGTACACATACAAAAAATAAAATCAAAGAGCACTCCATTCTAATAAGCACATATGAATATACAAAACCCATCACAGCACTAACAAAATCTACTAGCAGCATATATCATCTTTTACTAAGGCAAGAATCAATCTGAAAGTATAAAAGTAGAACATGAAATTGATTTTGATATAAATACATTAAATCAAACAAAAATTGACTTCCAACCTTTTAACAAAGATATTTATCTCAAATTAGTTCTTCTTCTTTTTCCTTCGTTCTCTCTGAAATCAGACCTTAATTTATCTTTTGTTGTTTCGGTTGCCCTCTACGGCCCTCCTAAATTTCTGTCATTCTTGAAACTCTGTTGCTTTCTCCAAACTCAGACTCCAGATTCGGCCTTCTCCTTTAGCACATAGCGTTGTCTTTCATTTGTAAAGCCGCCCTTCTTTACCACCAACCTTTCCATTTGTGCAGCAATCTTGCCCTGAATCCATAGACGTGAATACAAGGTATCCCTTTTATGGGGCTTGCATGAGAGATCAAAAGATCATAAACCTATTTGCTTGTTCCCCTCCTCCCTAACTGCTGCTTTCTACGATGATGACCTTGGACAGCATGGGGTTACTACACTTGCATCTCTTCTTTGCCTTTGTACGTGTACATCTCTTCTTTTGCTCTCTTGCTGCATCTGGTTGAAGGGTTTTAGGCTATGTTTAGTTGGAGGGGAGGGGAGGGGAGGGGAGGGGAGGGAATGGAGGGAGGGAAGGAGGAAGAGGGGAGGGGGAACCCTCCAATTTAATGGGGAGGTTTTGGAGGGGAGAGAAGGGAAAATTTTAACCCTCCCCTTTAATCCAACCAAACAAGCCCTTAAGGTTGAGTGAAACGCTAGAGTAATTAGCATTTCACTCTCCCTTTTATTTTTTTCTTAATTTTAATTATCATTTTTAGATTATTTTTTAGGTGAAGATATATATATATATATATATATAAATATATATATATATATATATATTAAGGGAAACAACTAAATCTATGAGAACTTGAAAATATCAAGAATTTGATCCTCATAATTTTTTGATCATTAAGATAATTTAGTGGAACGATTTTAAAAGATTTAAGAAATATTTTCTCCTCTATTTTTAAAATTGATTCTGAAAACCAATTAAATTTATCTTCTTTATTTTTTTTGTTTGAAAAATAATCCTTAAAAAGAATTAACTTTCGTTCTTTGTATTTATTTATTGTTTTGAAATATAATTCTTAGAAAGAATCAATATTTCTTTTTTTCTCTATTTCAACATTTTTTTAAAATTAACTCTTAAAAAAGAATTAAATTTCATTTTTATATTTTTATATTTTTTTGGTTGTTTTAATGAACAAAAGTAATAAAATCCTAGCCAACAAAAGATTATCTAGACTAAAATAAAATTAAACCCTATTAATTAAATTTTTTCTTTTTTATATTATTAAAATTTCATTTTTTTTGTAAAATTTATTATTATTAGTATATTTAAAAATTCCTGGATAAAATATATTATTCACATTTGCCCCTCTTTACTTGCTTTTTATGTAAGTATATGAAAAAAAGTGTAGTTTTTGAATTCTCACATAAGTAATAAGTAAAGATAGAACATGTATTTTGGTCGGCCATATAATACCTATGAAAAGACCTAATTGCTCATAACACGACTAGATATGATTAAGTGCGAAACTATTCGATAATAATCATAATGAAATGATTTTTTTAATTTTTTGTTTTTGTAGCAATGTGATAAGGTGATGTGATGCAAATGAAAATGATCAAATAAAATAGATATGATGTTGTAAACAATTGACAATAATCCAAACAAAGTATATGTTGACTAAGTGCTCCTCTTCATTTGATTTCTAAGTGAGAATTTCATGAAATAATATTCTTATCTTAGAATGAATGAAGAAAGAAACATGTATTTTATTTGGAGAGGCAAGACGCGTAAGTAACAACAACAAAAAAAAGGTTTATATTGAAGATGAAATTTTGTTTGGGAAATAAACAAAACAAAACCTCAATGAAAATGAATTGCTTATGCTTCAAAGGACTTGGGTGGATGCTCGCCTTTACAAGGCTTTAAAAGAATAATGATAGCCG